CTCTCTCTCTCTCTCTCTCTCTCCAAGCATGCAGGAGAAGGCCACGTGAGGATAAAGCATTCATTTGCAAGCCAGAGATGCAGCCGCCTTGCAAACCCCACTGTGCTGGACCTTGACTTTTAAGTGTTCAGAACTGTGAGAAAATTAATTCTTGCTACTTAAGCCGCCCAGCATGCAGTGTGCATTTCATTACGGAGGACCGAGCAGATTAACACTGCAGCTTGAAAAAGAACAATGCTATAATTCATTGAGCACTGTGTCCCGAGACCTGTTGGCAGGGCTTTGTAGACAGTTAATCCTCACAGACACCACCATAGGCGCTTGGGATCCCTCACCTCCAACCTGCAGGTGAGAAGCGTGAGGTTGAGAAAGGAAATCCGCTTGCCTGGGTTCCACAGCTGACAAGAGCCATGCGGGTCTCCCACTCGCCATCGCTTGGTATGAAAGCCGCAGTGCTTTCAGCCCGACCTACCTGTGGGAAGCAGAGACTGAGGCTCCCGACCCACAGGGACACATCATCTGCACAGATTTCTACAAGTCTTCTGGGTGGATGTCTCGCTCTTTGATCCCCATATTAATTTATTCACTCTCTTCTCCTTCTTATCACTATGAGCCGTGGGTCTTTATTTTAGAGTCAAAAACTTTTCATTTTCATTCCGGTTGTTCCAGTTTGGGCTCTCCTGAGTAGTTCCCATATACTTTGACACCCCACCACCGCTGTGGTGTTTTTTTGACATTTGGTGTGTGTGGGGGGAGAGGGTTGTCTTGTTAACACTATTTTCTTATTGCTCATTACTTATTTCTTATTACTTATTTACTTATTACTTGTCATTATGTTATTAGTAATATTAATAAAGTTGATAGTATTATATTCTTTATTACTCCAGGATCATATTACATATTTTCTTTGCAAGCGTATATGTATGGTATGGAGCATGGACCCATGTGTGTGGGTGCAGAGGCCAGAGAATGGTGTCCTGCTCTCCCACTCTCTACTTCATTTCCTTGAGACAGGGTCTCTCACTGAACCTGGGTGCTGTTTCTGTCAGCCGTGGTGGCCAGCAAGTCCCCAGGAATACTCCCATGTCCCCTGCCCCTCCCAACACTGCAGGATTACAGGCTATACATGGCTTTACATGTGGATGTTGGGGGTCTTCATGATAGCAGAGCAAACACTCTTATCCATGGAACCATCCCCCAGCCCCATAGTATGTATTTTCTGTCCTGGTCTTAGAATCAGCCATTTCTCCTAAGATCTCTGGTGTTTGTTTGTTTGTTTGTTTTATTGGAGAGTGGTCTTAGAACCCATGACCTTTCATGAAGTGTGGTCACTGCTTCTAGTCCCCCCAGCTGACAGAGACAAACATGTGCGTGTGTGTCTGTGCTAATCTATGACTATATTATATCTGTATTTTCATACGTTAGCCGTCTGATCTTAAGCTACACAGGCTCACACCATCTCCAGTTCTGATGTTTCCACAAGGATCTTCAGGCCCTCTCCTGTTTACTTGTAACCTGTCACGCCACTCGCTCCCCTGACTCCCACTGCCACCATCCATTTACCCAGCATCCCCATCCCGGCACACATGCTTAGCCTGTGAGCTCACTGGCCCAGACCCCACAGGGAGCAACTTTACCAGCTGCAGTACCACGCTTATTTACAGCTTTTAACCTTCCCTTCTACAAACTCGCCTCATTTCTAAAATTATTGAGAACAGGCTCTCTCCCTCCCGCCCCTCCCGTTTCCATGGGGTTCTTTCATACACTTGCAATATATTTAGATTGCTGTGTGACATCCTATCTTCATCTCCTCGGATTTTTTTTTTTGGGGGGGGGGAGCGGACATGAAGCCACACTCTGCGCTGCGAAGCTCTATATCACTCGGGACATTTCTGCTCTCCTGAAGACCCCTCTGCTTCCCCCGGTCAACCCTTCCCTCAGGCGGCTGCAGCCCCTTGTCCTTCACCCTTGCTATTGCTTTGTTCTTTCCCGACTGTCGTGGATTTAGAATCCTGCCGTATCTATCTTTTCGTCGCTTCTGTCATTAGCAATACACGGCTAAAATTCATTCAGCCCCGCATGGTGGCGCATGCCGGTAATCACAGCGCTCAGGAAGCCAAGGCGGAAGAGGAAGTTTGGGGCCAAACCTTGCTACATACAGAGACCTTGTTTCAACAGGCTGGGCCAGCGGGAGCAGGAGGCAGCTGATGATCTGCCCCAAGAGTGGAGGCACCAGCCACCACCAAGGGTGACAACCTGAGCTCAGTTCCTGAGATCCACAGGGTAGGAGAGAATCGGCTATCGCAAATTGTCCTCTGACCACACACAAAATGTGGTGCACACAATCACACTAATATACTAAATAAACAAACAAACAAAATTTTGAAGTAGGGCTCAGTTGGTAACGGTGTTTACCACCAAGTTTGAAGACGTGAGTTAAGTCCCAGGAACCCATATAGTAGAAGAGACTCCTACAGATTGTCCATTGACCTCCACGCAGGTGCCTACACATATACACTCACACAGATGCCACATACATGCAATCATACAGATCAATACAAAAATGTAAAAACTATTTTGGGTTAAAGATTTTTGAAACAAGCTTTTTTTTTTTCATTCTTTTCATGCCTTGGTAGCTCAACCCTTTTCATTGCTAAACAATATTCCCTTATAGCACTGAGCCACCGTGCATACATGAATTCACCTTCTGAAGGACACTTGGCTTTTCCAATTTGGTTGTTTGTAAATAAAGCTGCTCTAGGTGTTTGTGGGGAGGTTTTATTGTGGGGAACACAGCCAGGGCTGTGATTACGAACCCTTGGAAAGGCTATAGTCAGCTCTGTGAGTCCTCCAAAGGGCATCTGCCACCTGTCTCTGCAAGTTCCTGTTGCCTGGATCCTCACCAGCAGAGGGACTGCCCTTGTTTTCATTGTTTAATTTGCCCATTCCCATAGGTGTGTATACTCCCCTAGTTATGTCTTTGCTCCCACTTGGAGTCTTCTAGTGACAGAGGATGGCCAATAAACAGGCTTTCATACGCTTTTGGCTGGGAATCTCTCCAGAGTGGAGATGCCTCTGTTAAATCATGTTGGTTGTTGCATATGGTTGTTGCAAGAGCTCTTTGTTGGGACAGCAAGGTGGTTCAGCAGATGAAGGCGCCTCCTGCTGAGCCCCATTACCAGAGTTCGATCCTTAGGACCCACGTGGTAGAAGGAGAGAATGGACTCCAGAAAGTTGTCCTCTGAAATATAAATAATACATTGTAAAAAATGTAAATGTAAAAAGAATTAAAGACTAATTGTTACTTTAGATACTAGCCTTTCATTAGGTAAGTATTTAAAAAATATTTTCCCCACAGCAGTGCTTTCTACAGAGAAGAAGTTATTAGTTTTAATAAAATTCAACTTATCAGTTTTTTATTTCACGGACCATGTTTTTTGGGTGTTATATCTAAAAACTCATCACCAAGCCAAGGTCACAGGTTCTTCTCTCATAAGTTTGGTTTTGATAGATAAATGCTCGTGTGTTATGGTTTAGTTACCCCCCTACCCCCACCCCCCAAAAGGTAAGTCCTACTTCCCCATGGATGTGAATTTGCCTTTAAACAGGGTCTCTGCAGGGCTGATCAAGTTAAGATCAAGGTGTGGGTCCTCAGCCAATGTGGGTGTCCCTGGGGGCAGAGATCAGAGGGAGGTATCTGTAAGCCAAGGGCCACCAAGAACTGAAGCCTTAGCCAAAGGCACATTCTCCCTGAGTGGGGGTCCTCGGGAAGAGTCATCCCCTGTAGCCAAATCCCTGACAAACATCAACTTAAGGGATGGTTCGAGAGGACTGTGCATTATGGTGCACAAGGTGGGAGGCAGAACCATGAACCAGTGGGTCACATGACATCCATAGACAGGAAACAGAGAGTGGGGAATGCTGGTCCTCAACCCCAAGTGGGTTGAGCCTGGGATGGTGCCGCTCACATTTAAGTGGATTTCTCTCTTATCATCAAACCTTTCTGGAAGTGTCTCCATAGACACACCCAGAGGTGTTTCTATGGTGATTCCGGATCCCATGGAATTAGCAATGAAGACTGACCATCAATCATACCTGCTAATGTTTTGGACTTCGGGTCTCCAGGAATAGAAGAAAAAAATGTCTGTTGTGCTAAAATTCCTGGTGACAGCATCTTGGGAGATTTATACACATGTGACTTCCATCCCAGCAGAGTTCAAAATATTCTTGTCACTGCTGGGAGTTCCTTTGCCCTGTGTGTGATTAGCTTTGGTGATTAGTGTGACTGGATTGAGAGATGCCATTAAATTGGTAAAGCATACTCTGGGTGTGTCTCTGAGGGTGTTTGCAGAGGTTAACATGTGAGTCAGGGAACTGGGTAGGGGGGGGGGATCTGCCCTGAACATGACGGCAAGCAATAGGCTGAGGGCTTGGATGGAAGAACAAAAAGTAAACTAAGGGGCCGGAGAGATGGCTCAGCAGGTATGAGCGCTTGCTGTTCTTCCAGAGGACTCAAGTCTGGTTCCCAGCATCCATGCCAGACAGCTCACAACTGTCTGTGACTCCAGTTCTGGGGGATCCAACACCTTTCTCTGGACTCCATGGGTACCTGTATGCTCTCTCTCTCTCTCTCTCTCTCTCTCTCTCTCTCTCTCTCTCTCTCTCTCACACACACACACACACACACACACACACACAAACATGCACTTGCATATAATTTTTGAAAATTAAGTAAATCTAAAAATCAAAAGGAAAGAAAAACAAAGCCAGCTTTCAGGCATATGACCCCTTTCTAGAATTGGCTGCTGCTGTCACCTTTGGGCAATAGACTCCAGGTTCTTCAGCCTTTGAACACAACTGACTTCAATAGTTCACTAGGAAACTTCCAGGCAGTCGGCTTTACACTGAGACTCCATCATTGGCCTCTTTCACTTCCAGCCTCTTCCATTGGCAGCTACCAGACACCCCGGCTCAGTTGGTACCCGGCCATGGTGAGACTTCAGCTCTGAGCTGTGTATTCACTATGCTTGAGACAACATATCACAGCTGCTCTTACATACATGCCATTGGTTTTCTTCCTCCATCCCTGGAAGGGAGCACCATTCTGGTTTCTATCAGCATGGCTTAGCCTATTCTAGGCTATCTTATGAGCATGGTAATGGAGCACATGCTGTGTTTTTGACAAGCTCCTTTCGCGCCACATGACATTTCCACATTTATCCACATTGTCAGACATGACAGTAGTTTCTTCTATCTACTGCTGGGTAGTCAGTTTTATTAACATATTACAATCTGCTTATCCACTCCCCTATCCATGGACCACTGGGTTGCTTCCAGTTTGGGGCTATTATGAATAAAGCCACTTTGAATATTCTCCTACAAATGAGGCATGTGTTTAAATGAAGACACAATTGTGAACATATGGTTAAATGCACAGTGGAATTGCCAGATCATAGAGAATGTATGTGTTTAACTTCACACGAAATCCTCAAACTCTTTTTCCAAAATGGCAAAACATTGACAGTCTCACACCCCCACCGTCTTCAGCTGTGTACCCACTGTTCATGTGAGCCCACCCTGCTCCATGGATAACTCTCAGCCCATGGTCACACACATGGCCCTGGTTACTCTCCGTGAGTCATAAAACCAAATGTGTGAGATTCGTGAGGAGGAGGTAGGGTGGACATGAGTGGTAGGGAGGTGGGGATGAGAGCTGACAGCGTGGCTTGAGAACATCTGTGAAATTGTCTAAGAAGAAATTTAAGTAATAAAGAAATAGTTATACCCACTCTCTTTGGGGTTCCATTTCTTCACTTTCAATCTATGTACGTCCTAAAAGGCAAATTGAGTCTCTGGTAGATGACTCTTTGTATATGGAATATCTCCCAAAGGTCCACATGTTAAAAACTTGGTCCTAAACAGAACTTGTATGGATGCAAACAACTTGAGGACCATCATGCAGATCTTCAGGTTTCTAATCATTGGCTTATTCTCAGGGAATACATGTCACTAAGGATCTCTGTTTGCTAAAATGTAACACAAAGGGACTCTAAATGTAAACTTGAATGTGTTTTAACTTATTGGCAGCCCCATGGAAACTGCTTTGTCTCATTCTATATTTTCTATGTTAATACCCACATATTCTAAAACATCGACCCAAATTATTTCATGCCCATTGTATTTTGTACATTAAATAACCATACACAAATAAAAAAAAAAAAAAAAAAAAAAAAGCTTGGTCCTTAGCTTAGCACTATTGGTAGGTGGTAGAACTCATAGGAGGCAAAGCCAGGAGGAAGGAAGTTAAGTCATTGGGAAACGTCCTTGTCTTAGTCAGGGTTTCTACTGCTGTGAAGAGACACCATGACCACGGCAACTCTTATAAAGGAAAACATTTAATTAGGGTGGCTTTCATCTTCAGAGGTTTAGTCCATTATCATCATGGTGTGACATAGTGGTGTGCAGGCAGACATGGAGCTGGAAAAGTAGTCAAGAGTCCTACATCTTGACGCACAGGCAACAGGAAATGGTCTGAGACCCTGGGCACAGCTTGAGCATATAGGAGACTTCAAAGCCCACCTTCACGGTAACACACTTCCTCCAACAAGGCCACACCTACTTCAACAAAGCCACACCTCCTAATAGAGCCACTCTCAATGAGCTTATGGGAGCCAATTACATTCAAACTACCACAGTCCTTGAAGGAGATAGTAGGGCCCTGACCTTTCTTGCTCTTTGCTTCTCAGTCACCATAAGGTTAAACAGGTTTCAGCTAGTTCTTCCACCATGGGGTTATGCTTCATCACAGACCCAAAGGCAATGGGGCCAAATGACCATGGACTAAATCCCACCCCCCCCCCCCCCCCCCCACCCCCCGGAAATCATGAGCAACATAGACCTTTCCTCCTAATTAGCTAGTTGTCAGAGCAATGGAAAAATGACTAACACAGTAACATATAATGAGTCTTTACTTTAAAAAAAAACTATTCAGTTTCTGTGCACATATTGATTAGCAGATTTAATCCATTTATGTTTAAAGTAATGTTAGTTAGAAAGGAGTTGCTGTTACTTTGTGGTTTTCTATTGAGGACTATGGGGGTCCAGCCCATCAATAGTCCCCTCCCAGGGCCCGGGAAGAATCTACAACCAGCTGATAATTAATCTTTGAGAAAAGGAAATGAATCTATGTACACGAAATTCCTTAGTCCATACACTTTCTTATTGTGTGTCAGTTCTCTCTCTACAAGCTTCTATTCTGCTCTCATTTTTAGCTCCTTTCTTGCCCAATTTTTCTCTACATTTATCTGTTGTCTTCTCCAGGTTCTATCTTAATTCCTTCATCTAGTTCTGCCCCTGCTAGGTTCTCATCCATCTAGTTCTTTCCCATATCAGCTTCTCTCCCATCTCCTTCTCTCTCATCTTATTCTTCCCCATCTGGCTCTTCCTCATCTTCCATCTCATTCCTCTAGTCCTCTCTTCTAGCCCTTCAATCTAGTTCTTCCCCATCTCAGTTTGTTTCTCTCAAGTTCTTACCCATCTAGTTCTTCCATTCTCTTTTCTCTTCTCCATCCTCCCATGTCCTGGAAGTCCCAGTATAGTTGCACTTACAAGCAGTAATCCCTTAGCAGTGCAAAGCCAGGCTTCCAGGGTCTAATGGAGGGGTGATAAGAATCACAAAGAGAGGCAGTAACTGTTAATTATCATGTGCAACCCCAAAAGGAAGTGACCAATGAATTAACTAAAGGCTAAATTCGGGTAATATCTAAGAAGAGAGATCTTATGTGCTCAACTATAGTCTTAAACGTGATTAGTAGGAAATGTTAAGAATCTGTAAGTTGCTAGGTCAATGGGAGAAAATAAAACTGCCTTCTTTTTTCCTGTGGCTCCTATCTGTCCGAGCTATCTGCTGTTTTTCTGCAAGGTAGGGGAAAGTGTGCTAGGTTGCTAGGCAACCTGTGTACAGGTAGATGCCTCTGGTGATAGTTAAAGGGAGATCTGGAACCAGAGGTAAGATTTGGGAAAGGAGGAAGTAAAGCTTAATTGGCACATCTGCCAGGCCTTCTCAAATAGGTAGCCTGGATGCTTAAGTCTGTTCTTAGAGAGTACAGAGGTATCTCTGATAAGGTACTTTCCTCTATCTGGGGATGGACCTGACCGGATGCTGCCAATCATGATAATTACAGGGAGGTTTGAACTGGGGTTCTGGCTGAGCATAGCTGTCAGCACAGAAGGTTATCTAAATATTCCTAGAAGTGGTTAGGTAAGTAGTTAGAGGTCCATAAAGTTAGTAAGGCTGTAAGAAAGGAGGGGTCTGAGCTAAATTGTGTAAAGCTATTACTTAAGGTCCACCTGACCTAGGCGGTGTCTCCTTGTGGAATTTATCTTAAATCAGGAGACTTTCACGTAGACTGTTATTACTGCTAGTCCTTGAAAGGGCCAAGGGAGATATCTGATTCCAGAGGAATCCTTTCCTGAGGCAGTTCTCCAAACACCTGGAATGTGTATGTCCAGAGAGTGATCAGTCCACACTGTTAGCCCTTCTTAGGGAAAAACCAATTGGGAAAACTATGAAGGCACACATGATTTTCATAACAGAAGACAGCTGACATATAACAAGCCAAGTAACACCAAAGGATCCTTGGGATTTGGCTTCCTCTGGAGGAAATCCTTGATCCCTCCAGGTAGTGACTTTGCCATAGCCAGCTGAGTTCTTATGATATATTCCTGCGGCCTGCAGCAGTTTTCTGATTGTTTCGTTGGTATTTGTTCTTTTCTTTCTCTCATCTGAGCTGCTGTGCTTTGATGTCTTATTTTTCATCTCTTATGTATCTTTTGTAGGCTTCTGTTGGGTGGTGACCACGAGGCTTACACAAACACCTTGTACTTTTAGAGTGACTTGTACTACTGTGATTGCACAAGTATCTATAATTTCAATCTTCAACACATTCTCTGTCTTTGATGTCACTGTTTACCTTTTCATATTGTGTAGCCCTTAACAACTTATCACAGATATACTAAATAATAATAATAATGAAATAATTTTAGTGGTTTTGTCTCTTAAATTTATTATCCTAAAGGTGTATGTGGTTTAAGTGTTAGTGTATTCTGGCTGGAGTACATGCTTACACTTGCCAGTGAGTTTTATATGTTTGTATGTTTTCACACTAGGAATTGGCTCCTTTTAGTTCAGCTTGAAGAACTCCTTTTGGCATTTCTTACGAGGCAGGCTTGGCAGTAGTGAGCTCTCTAGCTTGTGCTTACCTGGTGAAGTCCTCATCTCCCCTTTCTGACGGACTACTTTGCTGGACATAGCATCCACTCACTGCTGGTGGCTGCTTTTTCTTCCAGGACTTTGAACTTCTCAACCTCCCATTCTCCTGGCCTAAAAATAGAGGACATTTTGTGATCATGGGTATCATCCTCGAGCTAAGCCTGTGCATGTCTTCTGTGTAATGCTCAGGTTTTAATCTGTGTGCTGCTGTGTGCTCCAGAGTATCTTACCTTTAGACATGTTGTCTTGCCTTTTATTTATCTGAAAATATCTTGCTGCCTCATGATTTTCACAGGGTGTTTCTATTTTGTATAGATTTTCAGGTGGATGGGATATTTCTAGTAGTATTTTTAATCAGTATATGTGTGCCTGAATGCATGCATGTGCACCACATTTGTGCAGTGCCTATGGAGGCCAGAAGGCAGCATCAGATGCCCTGGAAACTGGAGTTACAGGCAATTGTGAGCCTCCAGATGTGGGTGTTGGGAACTGAACCTGGATTTCAATTCAACAAATGTTCTCAACTTCTTAATGTCTAAACTGTCTTTCCAGTCCCTTCTTCTAGCATTTTAATGATGGTGTCATCTGGCAGCAATTGTTTATGATGAAAAATATCTCTGGCTGCTTCTCATAAATCCTGTCCACTGGTGTCTTCTAGGAGTTTAACTCTGATGAGCCTTTATATGTGTTTCTTTCCATTTATCTTATGGGCTATGTGTTCAACTTCGTGGATCTGTGGCTTGGCTTGTATTTTGGAGGTTGTGGTTTATGTGTATTGTTTGGTTGTTTGCTTGTTTAACCAAATTTTAGCATTGGAAGATGCTCAGTTGGTAAAGTGTCTGCCATGCAAACATTAGGGCCCTGTTCAGAATCCCACATAAAGCAATACATCTGCACCCTTACTTCAGGAAGGCACCAGAGGCAGACAGGCAGATCCCTGAAGCTGATTGGTCAGCCAGTCTAGTCCAACTGGTGACGGCCAAGTTCAGTGAGAGACTATCGTAAAAAATAAGCTGGAAAGTGACTGAAAAAGGCACCAAAGTTGACCTCTGACTTCACATGTACTCATACCCACACACACAAGTGCACACATTCACACGAACACACACACACCAAAAAATGTCTAACCAGCTATTAGAACATGTGCTCCTGACCAGTTCTCTTGATTTCTCTATTTGAAACTCCAGTGTTTCTTAGTACTCTCACCTGAAGTCATTTCACAGTGCACTCTGGCCCCCTGAGCTGGTTCCAACCCTCCCCTCCACACTCCATTTGAAGCTTATTTCTACCGTCCTGCCTTCCAGTCCATTGATCTCATCTCCTTCTTTTTCTCACCTTCCATGACACTTTCTAATATTTTTTCTTTCACTTTTTAGATTTTTTTCAGTTCTAGAATTTTTTCTTTTTTTCAGTTATTAATGATTCTTTTCTCAAACTCCCCATCTTTTCATACATTTAATACACCTGTTCCTATAGATTTGTTATACTTAGCACAGTTATCTTAGTGTTCCTTGGCTCGGTACATACAGGATGCTATGTAACAAATGTCTTAAACTGGAATGCTTGTAGGAACATCAATTCTGAGAGGGCTTTGCTTCCTCAAAGACAGTACCTCCTAGCCATGGAAGAGGCTAGCTGCCTCCCTTAGGCCTCTTCTGTAAATGAACTAGTACCATTCCCGAGTTCTCTACCCTCAAGACCTAATCACTCCTCAAGGCCCATAACTGGAGATTAGATTCAGTGATACTTGGGGTGATGTAAGCATTTGAATCATAGCAGGTCTCTCGGGCAAATTTCACTATTTAGAACATTTGTCAGTTGAAAGCTGACTTATTTGTGTGTGTGTACGTGTGCACACACACGCCAGGACACGGGTGAATGGAAGTCAGAGAACAACTT